GTCACAGGTGCTTACCCGATCGATATGTCATACAGTTTTACCGTAACGCATTTCCGCAAATTCGAATTTCGTCGCCAATGGGATTCGAACTCTTGTCCTGCCGCTTGGGGGTGCGACAACTTATCAACTACACTAAGTCGCCACACCCTATATATATTCTTTTCATTATAAGAGAATCGAATTAAATTTCAATAAAAACAGAGACATGGTCTCACTATTAACATTCAAAAAAAAAAAACTATTAAAGTTAGTTTTAACCATAGCAGATAGATTTTCTAAACCTAATTTGGAAATGTATGAATTAGAAAGGTAATTGTTATACTATACCTACTTATAAAAACCTATAAGTATCTAAACAGATAACTAAGTTTTGATAAATTAGTAGGAACTACTTCAGTATAAAAATATCTGGCTTAAAATAATTAGTAGATATTGATGATTTGAGAGTTTAAATAAATAATTTTTAAATAGATTGCAGATATAATAATTAATGTAAAATTTTTGGACAAACTACTTAAATAGACAACTTAAAATTGCATATATAGCTTGTTGTATTCTTGTTATAAATACTATATATGATCTCTTATAATTTAATTATAAATAAATCATTAATAAAGCTTGGTTCTAAGGAACACCTTATAAAAAAAAAATTCTATAACTTAGTAATTAAACTTTTAAATCCTATAAAGAAGATTAATAGTTTGAGTTTAACCAAAGATAAAATTAACTCTGTAACCTACTATAGTGAATAAATCTAATAGTAAGAGAAAAGAAAAGAATACTATTAACAACAAGCAGTTAGTCTAAATTATACAAACTAGATCTATAATATATAAAGGCTATTTAATTGATCATGAAGCTTACTCTATATAAAAATTCAATTGCAGATACAAAACTAAAATAAGAATTCTTAAAAGAAAATTAATGTTGTAAAGCATAGACACTATATATAGCAGCAATGTTATAGAAGGTTCTATATACTGTAAAGTACTTGTATAAGCCCTTAAGAAATAACCAAGCCAACACTAATATTCCAGAAAACAAGTTGTATATAGGTACTTGATTGGTAAAATAATATAAAATATAGAACTGGAGTGATAAAAAAAGCGGTGAATGCAATGGCAATCTGTGATAAAAGATTGGTTTTACCAGAATTAGAAGAACTTCTGATACCTGTACAATATCTGTTAAGAAAAGAAACTACCCAATAACATTATACTGTAATACTAATTAAAGCAAAGTGACCAAAAGATTATCTTATCACTGAAAAAAAAAAACCAGTAATTTTCAATCTTTTTTTTCAAAATCTTCAGTTCGTTATAGAAAAAATTAACTATATTTTTTGATCAAATTAGACCTTTACATCACCTAAACAGTTAACTTTCATATAATTGGATCTTTTAATTTTCGATTCAGAATCCGCAATTAGTGGATAGATTAGTGAAGCAACCAAATTTAGAGTCGAAATAGGCCCGGAGCTAGGCCGGCATTAAGCAATAATACAAGCCAACTATATTATAGCAAAATTATCATCTGGGCAGCTTTACTTAGTACGTGGGCTACCATTTCATTTGTAAAATTTTGGGTGATTTGGGGAGAAATTTATCAATTCCGGCCTATTCCGACCCTAAATTTTGGTCGGTCTGCTGAATTTTGGTTGTCCACTAATCTATCCGCAATTAGTAGCATATACGTCACTCTGGTTATATCGACATCTGAATACACTGCCTCTGGTTAAACCAACATCCGGATATATCGGACAATTTATTTTTTTGAGGTGCCGATATAACCGGGTAGATTAGTGGATCCACCAAAATTCAGCAAATTGGCCCGAATTTGCCAGAGCCAGGTGGTTTTAAGCAATAATACCGGCCAACTATATTATACGTAGCAAAATTATCATTTGGGCAGCTTTACTTAGTGCATAGGCTGCCACTTTATTAGTAAAATTTTGTGTGGTTTTAGCAAAAATTTATCAATTCCGGCCTATTCCGACCCAAATTTGGGCCGATTTGCTGAATTTTGGTGGACCCACTAACGCTAATCTATTCGATATAACCAGAGTGACGTTACGTATTATTATTGGCCTTATATTGATTTTTTTCGTTGATTTCGTAATTTCTGAATTTACGGAACCTTTTATAAAACACCACGTGATATAGATTTAGTGGGGTCGCTAATAATAATAAGTAGTAAATATAGAAGTATAAAATCAAATCAATTTTAGGCTTTCGAATTTTCCACCATGAGCTTTGGAACTCTTCAAGTGAGTGGTATCATGATAGTTTACTAATTGAACTGGTCACTTTATTCACCTGCATAATTCTTAATAGATACCTTCGTCTTTGCCTAAGCCTACTATACAGTCTTTCATAGGTATATAGTTTTAAAACGACTTTTGGCTTAAGAATCATAAGCAATATTATTACACGCAATATTGAATTTAAGGAAATAATGTTTTAATATTCAAAGCTTTGCTTTTTTCCTATTAAACGTAAAATTTGCAGAAAGAGCATGCAACCCTCAAATGGTTGAGCCAGATTTGGCTTTAGACTTGGAGATCGCGGATTTGATTAATCAAAAAAAGCAAAATTAGTATGTTTTAATATTTGTTGTAGTATCTTCTTTTATTATCTGTTCTGATAAAATTTCTTTCAAAAAGTCCACGCGATGCAGCTGTTCACATTGTGCGCCTTATAAATCATCGAAACCCTAATGTTTCTATGCTAGCTTTAACGGTATATAGTCATTATTTTGTGTTGTTTCATTTATTTATTTTTTTTTGTTTAATTTAATTTTTTTTTTTAAGCTTTTGGATATTTGTGTTAAGAATTGTGGATATCCATTCCATCTACAAATTGCTACAAAAGATTTTTTAAATGAACTTGTTCGAAAATTTCCCGAAAAACCTCCAGTATTGTCATAATTTATTTTGTTCGTTAACAAATGTTATTCGAATTATTCACGCTTTCGTTCTTAATCGAATAGGTGGTCCCTAATCCAATACAATTGAGAATATTAGAATATATTCAAGAATGGAAGTCGACCATCTGTGTTAATTCGCGCCATAAGGATGACCTACATTATATCAATTATATGTATAGGTTACTTCTTCAAAAAGGTTAGTTATATTATATCATGAAAAAAATATAGATATCCGGTCTTTATTTTATTTTCTTTTTACATTGGATTTAGGTTACGTATTTCCTGAAATTGATGATCAATCTGCAGCAGTCCTTAACCCAACTGATGTATGACTTCTTAGTATATTTTCTATAACATAGATTTACCAAAAGCATAAATTATACCATAATTAATCATATTCTTAAATAACTGTAGACTCTAAAATCACCCGATGAATTGGAGGAAGAGGATCGTGCTGCGCAAGCAGCGGTAAATTTGAAGTATTTTTAACGTTTTTTGTTTACAATTTCATATACTTAATATCTTCCGAGACAAACATATTAACTTTAAAAAGGACGGTCTATTTTACAATTTATGAAACGAAAGAAATTGCAAGAATTAATTCGCAGAGGTACTCCTGCAGATTTGGAAGAAGCAAATGAATTAATGAAAGTTATGGCCGGCTATGTATGTCATATACTTCTTGCTATTGTATTATGCATAGTTTGATGTTAATAACTTTAATTATTTTTTTAGGACCCAGAAGTAAAGCCTGATTATAAAAAGCAAGCTGGTGAAGAATTAGAGCGAATTCAACGAAAGGCAATACTTCTGAATGATATGCTTAATAATGTCAAACCTGGTGAAGTTATTGGTGAAGGAGATATATTTGAGGTAACAGATATTTCATTTAATCTTGACATTTTAGCATTTTGAAGCAGTATTATCATTAACATTTATATTCACAATAATAGGAATTGTCACAAGCTTGTAAGGCAGTACAACCCAAAATTCAAAAATTTATTTCAGAAGAAGAAGATTCTGAAAGTATTGGTATGTATTTACTTATTTCTCACTTTACATATTTAGATTGCTTACGCATTCCTTTTATTGTTTTCAATACAGATCGACTGTTGAATTTGAATGATATAATCAACACAGTTCTGAAGAAATATCAAAACATTCTAAATGGGGTATTTAATGATCCTAATGATGAATTGCCTCCGCCTCCGCCACCTTCCACAACGTAATTTCAATTTTCCATATATCTTGTATCCAATACAATTTATTTTAAAATTTAATATGCATTCTTATACTTTCGAAATAGCGGGAGCCAGCCAGAGTCATCATGGTTGATTGATTTAGGAGATCCTGAACCTCAGAAAGGTCAAATCCAAATTACCGGTGATCTGATTGATGCAAGTGGTGGATCTTCTAATAATAATGACCAACCAAAGACAGGTATTTGTTTTTATCTTGTTTTTTTTTATTTTTTTTATACATCTTTAAATATTTTCACTTATATTTAATTCGTGCACATATTAGGAACTTTGATAGACGATTTAATTGGACTGTCCTTTCATTGAGACTTTTTAATTCTGAATATTTTTATAGCATTGTATAACTAGGAGGTTGGATTTCAACTGACCAAGAGTTTCTAAAAATCTTTGAGTTGCCAAAATGTTTAATATATTTGATTCAATACAATAATTTCCTCGGGATGTATTTTTTTAATGATAAGAATGCGTAAACACGTGACATGGTATACATAAACCATGTGAGTCTAATTTTTAATTTTCGCGAAACTCGATTTGTCATTTTTCACAATTTTTTAATTCTCAAATAACCTTGATAATAAAATGGAAATGGAAATATCACCGTTTGTTCTTAACCAAACTCGACTCGTTGTAATTTCAGATCAAGTAGTTCAGATAACGTTGTCGTCTAAAAACAGGTTCTATTAAAATATATAAGCCTACGCGATTGTTGGAAACAGTTAAATTATGGATGCAAGTTTGCCTTTTTTTTTTTAACTTTGATCCTAAAATAACAGCTCTAGTGAATCGCTTTATAACCGTAACCAATTAATGCAAGATGAAGTAAAAGTAATTGTCGTGGCTACTTTGTCATGTCGAAGATCTAAAGTTTTAATTTTCTTTTACTATTATTTAGAAAGTGGTTGTAGCGTTTATAAAATTGAAAGAAGAAAATCTAATAGTGGATGGAGATGGATATAGTTTGCTATGCAGTTAATATACTACTTTTCACGATCTGAAAACGTTTGACTGGTTTTTAAAGCTAATCTAAATAAATTTTTTACAATTAGAGAAACACAGTTGGCAATATGGACGTAAATATGTTTTTTTTAAAAACAAAAGTAGACTCAAAGTTCATCGTTACAAGTACACTTTTGAATTAGAGCCTGTAACAACAGATCAAGAAGAATCTATTAGGTATTTTAGGTTCAAAAAAGAAATATTTGTAGATATGTTATTTACATGTTATCGTTATATATAATTTTTTTTTTGCATGACAGTTTTCACGTCGGAAAAAATAAAAGTGTTCAACAACAAAAAGATGATGAGTCAAATTCACCACAAATTACTGAGGTATTTTCTGATTCAGATGCAGTCAATACTAGTTTTCTGTCAGAAGGAGATGTTGTTGGTGTTGAAGCTAGAGTTTCGACCCAAACCTTTTTTTGAATGACGACATTATTACATAATTTGAGTTTGGAGATCGAGATTTCTACTTCATTTGGGATAATAACCAAAAAGCCTATATGTTTTATTTTGGTAATGTATGGTATCAAATTCAAGAACCGGTCAAATTAATTTTAGAATTAAGAACCTAAAAGTGATTAGCAACTAAGCATAATTTTAACTAATTTGATATATTATGTATATACATAGTTAGTATTTATTAATTTTATATCGACGGATATTAATATCCACCCTATTTATATATATATAAATATATATCTCTTAAACGGTTTTGCAGGCAAATTTGCCTGCAAATTTGAAAAATATTTAAAAATTTTCAAATAAACTAAAATTTATTAATGATATAATATATAATTTTCTATAGTAAAAACAGGGGATATTGATATCCGCCCCTCAATTTTAGTTTTTTGCTAAAATTTAGGGTTAGAGTACAGGGGTCAGATATAATAGTCCAAATTTTAAGTTACACAAGGTTTTGGGGTTTGAACATTTTTACTTAGTACCTGACCCTGTTTCTTAGTTATGTTTTTGAGATATAATAGTTTTTATTAAAATTTAGGGTTAGAGTGCAGTTTTACACCAAAATAGAGTAGATATAGTGGTTCAAATTTAGGTTATACAAGGTTTTGGAAGGGTTTTGATAGGGTTGTTAATGGAGTAGTTTATTTCAGAACACTCCAGAGTAGAACCCAACCCAAATTGGAGTGGGTTTAAAATTATATCTTTAAATTTAAAGCAACCTGGAGCAACCCAGAGTACTATGGAGCAACCTAGAGCAAAACATTAGAGTAGGTCTAATTTGGTGGAGTGGATTGAAGATTGGGTCAAATCAAACCAACCCAATCCAACCCATTAACAACCCTAGGTTTTGAACATTTTTACTTAGAGTACACCTGATCCTGTTTTTTAGTTATATTTTTGAGATATAGCACCCTGAATATTAATATCCCCTGGTATAAATTAAATATTTTCTTTTTTATATATATTTAATTAATTTATTTAAAAATTTTTAATATTATAGTATTAAAAAAATTTTCAAGTATTAAAAAAAATAAATTCAGAACAACTCTTTCCAATGATCCTCTGGTCAACAAGTCCAAAAATCTGAACTATAGTTAGCGTTATAGAAGACATCAAAGGGTGATAATATACTTGGTTCTATGCAAGTAGGTGTGTTGTTGACGAAGTACCAAGAGTGTAAAACCGAGAAGTGGACTACTTTGGATGGTTTTTGTAGATGTCAAGCTTTCTTGTTAGTGGACTTCTCTATTATATTCAGCATCCAAACCAGAAGAATATTTTGGAAACACAGAATGACTAGGTCAATACTAAGTATATTAAAAAATTGAAGATAGTCTCTATACAACTATAAAACTTACAAGAAACAACTACAAAAAGTTTCATTGACCCACCACTTTTTTCGAGAAAAATTGTCAAAAAGTGGACATCTCAGCTTACCCCTTCAAAAGATCGATATATGAAATCACCAAAACAGTTGGTATTGTTTATTTCCCAAAGTGGATGTTTATGACATGTTGTTTATTTAAAGTAACTCGGAGCAACCCAGTTATCAATAAACTAGTAGACTGTGGTCAGATGCATTAGAGTAGAATGAGTAGGAGACTACATATGGAAACGGTGCATTTGAGACATATGATAGTTACATGCCTCAATTTCTATGGACCGCAAACAATACTTTGAGACTACAGTTTTTTTTTTTAACTACTCTGTCTAGTTTTTATAGTTTAGTTTAGGATATTTTTTTTCTTATATAGGTTTTTCAATATAGATACATATATTATTAGAGTAGAGTTAGATACAGAGTTTCTTTATTCTATTAATATGTAATTTTTTAAAGTCCAACACAGACTCATAATTGTGATCTATCAGATTCCTTCTTTCTTTTTTTTTACCCCTTTTATCTTTATATTTGTTTTTTTTTTAGTATTAGTTTTTGTTATTTTACTTTTTCCTTTAATATTAGTATTAGTGTTAGTGCTTTTTTCTTTTTTTCACTTCTCTACAAGAAGATGTCATCAGTTTGGTGATATCCTATTGTAGGGTGGTAGTCTGATAGTGCTTTCTGAAATAGATGTAATTTCTAGTTGAAATTTATCATGATGTGTTCAAAGGGATGTATCTGCTCAGTGTGGCCAGTCACTTGTAAGTGCTCTTTGAAGTAACTGCAGGATGTCATATCTAAAATTATGTAGTATAACAATTTGTTTGATGTCGTTCTAACTAATCGATACCCAGTAATAAAGAATTTTGGCAAAACAGCCAAAGTGGAAAAAAAATAAAAATAAAAATAAAAATAAATTGAGTATAAATTTTGTTAAATTTAATTTTGTATAATTTACAATATCTTGTAATCTAGTGATCAAAATTTGATGATTTTGGCATCATTTATCAAGATGAATTGAATAGTATTAAAATTGTTAAATTTTAATTATCAGATCATAAATTATTATTATTTAATAAATTAAAAATAAAGAGGCTTTTTATAAAAAAAAAGTCAACAACTCTCCCTGACGATCACTCATACTAAACTTACAACTAACGAAAACAGAAACTTGTTAGAGAAAAGTAGAAGAGATAACTACAAATAATGGTTTTTACAGTGGTCAAGGATTTCCATGTTTCATCCGGACTCCTTTGTATATTCAGTATGCAAGTTAAAAGCATTTCTGTACAAGATAACTGGCGAGAAGATGGTGCCCTTGTACAGAAAATTTTAATAGAAGCTCTGCTTCTGCTGACGAAGTTAATGATAGTTGGTCTAAGAAGAACAACAAGCGAGTTTTCAACATATTTCTTATCGAAGTTTAAAGCTACTCGCAAACCAAAACCCTATACCAAACTCCACTTTTTGCACTTTTCGAAATTTTTACCAAAAAATGAGAAAAACAATATATCTCTAACAAAAGATCGACACAGTAACAGCTGCCGAAAAAGAAAGTCACGTACACATATATGTGTCTACTTTGAAATGAATAGTGGTAGATAATATGATAATGTTTGAAGCATCGCAGAAGACTCACCGACCTAGTTGAGATAGCACCGAAAGTTTCGATCTTGAAGCTCTACTTCAAGACCAGATGATTTTTAACATTTTTACATCCTGAATATAGATATAAATAACTAAGTAGAGTTTAGTTTAGTTTATTTGTAGTACTATTTAATTTTTACAATTCAGTATAGGTTTAATAGTGCTATCTTTGTTTCTTTTCTTTGTTTTTTTTTTCTTTGTTTTTTTTTCTTTGTTTTCTTTTTTTTTATTATTTATTTTATTTGGTTTTATTAGTTTAGATGGACCAGAACTCGACGGCATAGTATTTCTCCATTTTTATTTTGCTCTTTACATTTGTGTTTGTATTTTATGTTAGAAAAAGGAAAGCTAACTTTGATATGGTATATGGCATCAGCTCATGACCAAAAGATAACCTCTAGTAAGTTAGAGGCCCAGAGAGAGGCTTGAAGTCTACTGAGGCAAATCATACCTGGTGAAAGTGTGGGTACATCACTTTACAGGTGGATTAGTTATAGCTATTATTAGGGAATATAAATTTTTTAGTATAGTTTAATCTCAATAAAAAGTGGCAAAACAGCCAAATTATAAAAAAAAATTATTATTTAATAAATATTTACAAAAGTTTAAAGTTCTTGAAAATTAATAATAAGAATTTAACAATTTTGGCACTATTAAATTTATTTTGATAAAATAGTTCAAATGATATTTAGATTGTTAAATTCTGATTACTGGATTTCAAGATAATTACAAAAGATGATTTGTATACAGTTTTGCAAAAAAATTCAACCAAAACAATTTGAATTTCTATACAGAATAATACTGCAAATTATTTTTTGTAAATATTTTAAGATTTAGTAATTAGAATTTAATAATTTATATATTATTTGAACTGTCTCATCAAGACTATACATGCTGACAAAATTATTTTAGATTTTAGAATACAAAATTAAATTTGAAGATGAAATTGTTTTTGACATATTTTATTTAAAAGCCAAAATTTTTTAACACTTTTTTTGAAGAAACAAAATTATAAAGAATATAACTATCTAAATTAGATTTGTTCTTGCATATAAAAAATTTCAAATTGCTCTAATGAAAACAAAATAGATGTTTTTTAAAAACCTATTTTGGTGGTATGTATAATTAAAACAAATTGAATGATATCAAAATAGTTAAATTTTAATTATTAGTTCTTAAGATCATTAAACTTTTGTAAATATTTATAAAACAGCAATAGCTTATGAACTAATAATTAGAATTTGGCAATATTGGTACCATTCAATTTGTTTTAATGAGATGATTTAAATAATACCAAAATTATCAAATTCTAATTACTGGATCACAAGATATTATAAATATAATTCTTACTAAAAATTTTTTTAATTTACAAATTTGTACAGATCTTGCTAAATTTATTTTTTTGAATTAGTAATAAAATTTTTACAACAAAATATTATTTTTTATCTAAGTTATAATATTATACTAAGATTATAAGGTTAAAACTAATATTTATTATATACTAATAGTTAGTAAATAAATTTTTTAATAATTAATAAATTTTTTAAAATTGTCTGATTTAAGCTAATAAGTAATAAAAAGT